AGGGGTGTCAAACTCAATTCCTGGAGGGCCGGAGCCCTGCAGAGTTTTGTTCCAACACTGCTTCAACACACATACCATGTAGCTTTCGAATAAGCCTGAAAGACTTGATTAGTTGGATCAGGTGTGTTTAATTAGGGTTGAATCTAAACTATGCAGGGCTCTGGCCCTCCAGGAATTGAGTTTGACACCCCTGGTCTATGAGAATGCAGTTATTTGTAACCTGTTGTTTGGCACGTCTCTGAGCGAGCGCACACTCTTTGCGCAGTGCTTCCATGTCTCTGTGCAGTTGCTGGCTCTCTTGCTGCAGCGTGAGTCTCTCCTCACTGATGGCTGTACTCTCCTGTCTCGCACTCGTCAGCGTGGACTGCAGCCTCCGCACCTCCTCCTGACAGCGCGACAGCTCCTCTGAATACCTACACAAGCACAGGAGAGGCAGCAAACTATTATGAATGCACCCTTATGTTTGCCCTCTGTCTAGTTTATGAGAGTGTGTGCATGTTCTCACTCCATCTCCATCTTCTTCATCGTGTTTTTAGTGCTGTTGAGTGTGAGTTGCATTTCGTCCTTCAGTCGTTCAGCATTTAAACATCTCTGATGGAGAGCCTCCATCTTCCTCATCTCGGGCTCTCCAACTCGGCCCTCTTTATAGACCTACAACACAAACACAATTTTTTAAAGTGTTTTCAATGAAGTCTCTTACACTCACCAAGGCTGCATTTTTGATCAAAAATTCAATAAACAGTTATTATTACAATTTAAAACATCATACCTAATAACACTCCTTAAAGGGCTAGTTCACAAAAATGAAAACTCTGTCATCATTTACTCACCCTCATGTTGTTCTAAATCCGTAAGAGTTTTCTTTCTACTGTTGAACATAAAAGAAGATATTTGAAGAATGCTGGTAACTAAACAGTTAACGGTAGCCATTGACTTCCATGCTGGTAACTAAACAGCTAATGGTAGCCATTGACTTCCACTGTATTTCCATACTGTCAATGGCTGCCGTCAACTGTTTGGTTACCAACATTCTTCAAAATATCTTCTTTTGTGTTCAACAGAAATTGTTGGGGGTGAACTATACCTTTAAATGTGATATCACCACAGCAACATACAGTCTTAGTACATTTAATTATGGGAGTAAAATTTGTGCATTTATTTTCACCTTCTCCAGCTCCTCTTCCACAGCTTTTCTCTCCCGATGGGCTCTTTCAATCTGTGTCTCTTTATCGGCACATTCCTACACGCACAACCACAGCAGAAATATGTTGATTTGCAATGGTGACAGTTGTAGCTATTCACATCTGTACATATATGCTGATGAATGTGTCACCAGTTGCAGGGCAGAAAGCTCCTCAGCCATACGATGAATCTGAACGTTACACTGCTTACGGACACTCTCTACCTATAAAAGGAGGAAAAGAAAACATTCCGAATTATGAGTCACACTCAGAGATGCAAATAACAATATATATATGTACACTGTGATCACAGATTAGCTGAATGTCAAAGCACTAAAATTAGAAACTAGAGTGACGCTGATTTGACTGTGCCATAACCATGCCGTGCCAGTGCTAACAGTCAGGCTATTTTTAGCTATAGAGCTCTACAGGGTTCAAGGAAGTACCGGTACATTTGCTTTTAATCTTTAATGCTGTTAAAGATCGTGGGAAAACAGGGTTTCTGCAGGATTTTTAAGCTCAAATTTAAGACTTTTTAAGACCTTTTTTAAGACCTGCACAAATAAAATTAATACCATATGAGCGGGGTAGGGCAATGTCTATAGTACCATATTAAACTGTAAAATTACTGTAAAAAGCATAATTTACAGTTCAGATACAAGTTTTCACAAAAACAAAGTTTTATAAAATTATAAACTTTACATTTCAGCCTTTAAACCATTGTTAAGAAAATGGATGATTCAAAAGTATTACTATATTAATTTAAACAATTATTATCAATAAATTATTATATCAATTAAATAAATTAGGGGTGTGCGATACTGACAAAAAATGTTATCTCCATAATTTTCTGGGATTTTATCGATAACGATAATTAGATGATATTTTGCTGAGTGTGTTACTGTGCTGATATCTTAAGGACTACCGTGGACAGCTGACTCCTGAATTTTTTGATATTCTTCATATTCTGTGTGGTCAGTTCACAGCATTTAATAATTTCCAACAAGTGTTATGGGCATTTTTACCTTCAAGCCATTTTTTCTAAAATTGTGCACCATCTTTTGAGTCAAATTCTTGCATTTGCGTTGTTACCAAGCAAATTAAATCCGTATTAACAAAATGTATCTTTGCAGTGCAGAGGAAACACAGAAGCTGCATTAGAAGTGGCATTTAGATGCACTCTTCGTGTGATATTAACTATATGAAATGATATAAATATATACATTTTCTGCCCCATATCTTAAATTATGTGATAATTCTAAAGGCATTTTAATAGACTGATTCATGCAGTGAAAGGACGCACTCTAAATGCGCACGCTCACTAGTCTAACCTACTAAACTTCATAACCTAATGTATGCGTGTACTCTGCAGGTGTGTTTTGTGTTTGCTTTTCGCAGTATACTCATAATAACAAATCGCACATCGTTAAAACAATAATTACGATATTATCGCAGACCATACATATCGCACCCCCCTATGTTTAGATTTTTATAATGCATTGTCTTCTTATCGATCCACCAGTTCACATTCAAAGCTCTACGTGTTTGCAGGGTAAAAACATGGGTCGATTTTCACATTGGTCTGAATTTTGAACAAAACAACAGTTTTATTGAAAATGCTCATTCATTCTCTGCCAGCAGGTGTAGTGTTTGGTAGAAATATAACTGTTTTCCCGGTAACGGCAGAACACAAAGCAGCGCAGCACCGGACTTTGAACCTGCAGCGCTCGTGTTTATTTCATGAAATCATAGTCTTTTAAAGTTTAATCGTCACATTCAGCCATATCGTTATAAGAACTATAAAAATGCTTCTCATGGCCTAAAATATTATCTAGGTAGGCTCACTAGGGTTGGAGCAAAGCCTAATTTAACGTGTCTGAGAGTAGACCTGATGCCGTATTCTGTTGTTCCCTTTGAAAGTTCAAGAACATTAGCAGTGATCACCTCTTTCCTGGTGCGCATGGCAGCATCCTGGATCAGCTGCTTCATGGCATCTTTCATCTTCTCAAGCTCTTCTGCTCTCTGTTTCTCCCTCAGCTGAGCCTAGAGTAACATATAAACACAGCAAAATGATTTTAGACTGAGAAGTCAGGTACGTATAGAAGAGCTCTTGAATTGGGCCTGTGCGGTGTGTTTATTTGGAGCGTGACCTGTTCTCTCTGAAGCGAGGCTTCCTCAGCCAGCTGGATGGAGTTGCGGAGGCGACTGAGGGCTTCAAATTTCTCCTCTTCCAGAGAGGCGCAGCGACCCTGCAGGTCTCCCACTTGCCGCTCCCAATCCGTCTGCTTCCTGCGCACTGACTCAGAGTCCTGCGTTGCAGCTTTGAGTCTGAAAAACAAAACAAAACATAAATAAAATAACATACATCCATATTTTCAATAAGAATTAAAAAAGGAAACAATCTATACAAACAAATCTATACAAACTCCTTTGCAAAAAAACAAAGTCACATTATTACATACTTGCATGTTTATTAGTAACAATAAATGCAGTAATATGTGCAAATAATTTTTTTTTTATATCTATCCTTTTTTGGAGGCTGGGTCAGTTTTTTTTTTAGTTGTTTTAAAACTTCACATGTACATTACTGTTTAAAAGTTTGGGGTTGGTTTTAAATTTTTTTTAAACGTTTTTAAACATTTATGTGTTTATTTAATCAAACATACAGTAAAGTAGTATAATATTATACTGTAACAGTACATAAAAACAGTAGTATAATATTGTAAAATATTATTGCAACTCAAATGAGCTGTTTTCTATTTTAACATATTTTAAAATTAAATGTATTTAATTTATTAAGGCTGCTGAATTTTCAGTGTCAGCAGTCTTTAGTGTCACATGATCCTTCAGAAATCGTTATAATATGCTGATTTGAATCTCAGAAAACATTTATTATTATTATTATTAGGGATGCATGATATTGGATTTTTGCCGATATCCGATAATTTAACTCATTTTGGCCGATAGCCGATGCGATACCGATATATAATTTTTTTCTAATTGTGGTTAGTTTTTAACAGGAACTTATTTGTTAGAATTAAATAAACAATAATAAGGTTATTTTATAATGACAGTACATTAAAGATTTGAAAATAACTATAAATAAACTATATATTAATCACTGCATTTTTTTTTTCAGAAAGATGCAGTGGTAACCTTAACATTTTATTTTATGATTTAACATTTGTAAATGGTCTAAAGCAAAAGAGTTGTAAAAATTCTGAAAATCTTTTAGAGCTCATAATTTGTTTAAAAAATATAACATATTACACATTAATGAATACATCAGTAGGTATACAGTATATACAATTATTTAATTTAAGTGTCATGTTTGTGATTTATTTATTTTTCTGTTCATGTAAGCTATAGCTTCTGACCTTTAAATCAAAACATACTCATGATTTTATGGCCTCAATTACTGCTTTATTTAATCAGAAACACTGTCTAAATATTATTTGTGTATTTTGCTTTCATTTTATTAGAAGTAGGCCAACAGTATGGTAATCCAAAAGCCTATGGAAAAATCCCATTGGCTTTTTGTCGAGGGAACCAGTGTGATGCTAACAGCCGATCCGCATACAAAGTGACGTCATAGTTCCCCCACTCTATTACTGTTTACTCTATCACACACCGAACGTGTCATTCTGTACGTGCATTCTCAGTTTAAATGCAGCGATCAAAAAAAGGGAATCCAATCACCATTCAGGCAAAACTTTGCTTCAAGAATGAGCCACAATGCTGACGTGATCTAAACACCCTGAGCACATGTGAGTTAATGTTTTTTCATATCGTCATATCAACATATCGGCATACTTTTTCATATCGGGCCAATGCCGATATTTACATTTACAGCCATTATCGGCCGATTCCGATATTGGTCCGATAATATCGTGCTTCCCTAATTATTATTATTATTATCAATGTTGAAAATGGCTATGCTCCTTATTTTTGTGTAAATCGTGTTATGTTTTATTCATTATTCTATGATGAATAGAAAGTTCAAAAGAACAGCATTAATTTGACACAAATCTTTGGTAGCATTATAACATGGTCTTCACCATATTATTTGATTAATTTTATGGATCCTTGCTGAATTTAAGTGTTATTTCTTTAAAAAAATCGTATTGACTTTATTAAACTTCACCTGGCTTCTAGCTGCTTCAGTGCTGCTTGTAGTTGCTGTAGTCTCCGATCAGATGCTTCTTCTCTACCCTGAGCTTCTGCTGCGTCCTCTTCCTGCACCATTACACAAACATGACATTATTAGAAAAAAAATTACATAAGCACAATAATAGCAACATTAACAGTGTATGCAAGCTGTCTGTCTCTCACCCTCCTCTGCATCTGATCCTGGACATTCTGCAGGAGTCTGGTCATCTCCTCCACTTTAGTCGCAGAAGATCTCTGCTCAAGCTTTGCCTGCCTGAAACATCACACGCACACAAACACACATGCATACAGCTGATCTTTTTAGTACTTTCTAAATTTTGAAATTTTTATTTCTTATTGATAGAATAGTAAGATGACAGGAAAAAAAAATGCACCAATCTTCTTAAATCTGAAAGTTTTATAGGCATTTCAAAAGCAGTGAGAAAACCCATTTTCAGTCTTTTGGAGTAAATGTGACTGCACTAAAGTTGTGGTAAAATCATGATAAACAGACTGAGCTGACTATATTATAAACATATATGAGCCAAACAGAACTCGAGTCAAGGTTAAGTCTTAAAGGGTTGGCCATCTGGAACGCTACCTGAGTTGGCTGCGTAACTCCTCCAGCTCACTGCTCTGTTCCGCCACCGTCTTCAGGAACTGCTGATTGGTCTGAGTGTGACAGGACAGACATGAACGCCGGCCGGGCATTATGCCAAACACACACACTTCAAAGAAATTTTCAAGGATAAAGGAAGAAGAACAGGACGGAGGGGTTTTGGAGGTCGAGATGGGATAGGTGTGAAAAAGGTGGGTGTGTGAGAGCTACACTGCTTATTAAATATTCACGAATAGAGTAGTATTTCTCCTCAACCAACACACACACACACACACACACACACACACACACACACACACACACACACACACAGGCTAAACAATGAACAACACTCAGTCAAACAGGTGGCGTTCTGACTAGTGTGAAAAAAGCATGTGACTAAGACAGCACAAGGATTAGGCCTTCAAAACCTTTGCATAACAACTCACTGTACATGGCAATGATATCACTAATGAAACCCTTTCATAAACATGTAAAATTATATTTCTCAAAATGTTTTGATAAAACCATTTTCAGTGGGAAAAGTGGATTGATTTTATCCACCTGAACCATTGGATCATGAAACGTGGCTGATGACATATATAAGGGATAAGGTACAGGCCATTATCACAAAATAAAAAGGGTTTATTCACCAAATAAATACATAAATAAACATAAAAAATATTGTAATGATTCAATTATGTGAGAACAGAAACAAAAAAAGTATCAATTATTTCAAAGGTGGAGAAAATTACAACATTTTGTAAAAAAAACAAAAAAAACATGGAAGATTATTTCATTAGAATAAATCTGATGAAAACAATGGATATAAACAGGGGAAAGTACAGTAGATCTTCTCTCAGTTTCACAGACAAGGCTTAAGCCTAGTCCCAGACTAAAATGTATACCTGGGCTGTTTTAACTGAAAGAAATTTGCACTGACTGATCTTAAAATATATCAGTGCCGTTGCTTTGTCTCAAGATGCACACAAGCAAAGTTATTTTCTAAGGCTTGTTTATAAAAGATACTTAAATGTCCTTACTGAACTATGGCCTAATCCTGGCTTAACCTAAACCCTGTCTGTGAAACCAGGCCTTAGATTTCAACCAGTATTGTTTACATAGTGAAAGAGGAAGTCTTACTGATTCCAGCTTCTGGTTGGTCAGCTGGAGCTTCTGGCTGTGTTGCTGAACCTGCGCCAGCTGATTCTAAAACAGCACAGTGATTGTCAGTAAGAGCACAGACAAAGCATTTCAATAATTAATTAATGTGTATTATAATAAGCTTCAAGCCACAATTAAGCCAATATTTTACAGCCAATTAAATATTCACGAATAGAGAAGTATTTCTCCTCACCCAACACACACACACACACACACACACACACACACACGCACACGCACACACACACAGGCTAAACAATGAACAACACTCAGTCAAACAGGTGGCGTTCTGACTAGTGTGAAAAAAGCATGTGACTAAGACAGCACAAGGATTAGGCCTTCAAAACCTTTGCATAACAACTCACTGTACATGGCAATGATATCACTAATGAAACCCTTTCATAAACATGTAAAATTATATTTCTCAAAATGTTTTGATAAAACCATTTTCAGTGGGAAAAGTGGATTGATTTTATCCACCTGAACCATTGGATCATGAAACGTGGCTGATGACATATATAAGGGATAAGGTACAGGCCATTATCACAAAATAAAAAGGGTTTATTCACCAAATAAATACATAAATAAACATAAAAAATATTGTAATGATTCAATTATGTGAGAACAGAAACAAAAAAAGTATCAATTATTTCAAAGGTGGAGAAAATTACAACATTTTGTAAAAAAAACAAAAAAAACATGGAAGATTATTTCATTAGAATAAATCTGATGAAAACAATGGATATAAACAGGGGAAAGTACAGTAGATCTTCTCTCAGTTTCACAGACAAGGCTTAAGCCTAGTCCCAGACTAAAATGTATACCTGGGCTGTTTTAACTGAAAGAAATTTGCACTGACTGATCTTAAAATATATCAGTGCCGTTGCTTTGTCTCAAGATGCACACAAGCAAAGTTATTTTCTAAGGCTTGTTTATAAAAGATACTTAAATGTCCTTACTGAACTATGGCCTAATCCTGGCTTAACCTAAACCCTGTCTGTGAAACCAGGCCTTAGATTTCAACCAGTATTGTTTACATAGTGAAAGAGGAAGTCTTACTGATTCCAGCTTCTGGTTGGTCAGCTGGAGCTTCTGGCTGTGTTGCTGAACCTGCGCCAGCTGATTCTAAAACAGCACAGTGATTGTCAGTAAGAGCACAGACAAAGCATTTCAATAATTAATTAATGTGTATTATAATAAGCTTCAAGCCACAATTAAGCCAATATTTTACAGCCAACAGCTAATAATGAATTCATATATTAAAATAATTCAGCCCAGCATGCCTTCTTGGTTTATGTATAATTGTTGGAAAATGCTGCGGGTCTGTTTGTTCTGTTAACTGTGACTGCATGTAGTTAAACACTGCCCTCTAGTGTTCAATCATCATATTACCTATTCTTCAAATAACTGAGAAAATTAAAGAGGATACTGAACTGTTTTCAGAAACCAAATATGAGTATGGCCACCAAACATGTGCTTATCGATGTGCTTATGCTTATATATGTGTGTCGATGTTTAAAAAGAAACCTATGACCTCCTACATGCATTATAAACAGACTGAACTTGAACATGTGAAAGTGTTAGTATGTAAACACCGTAACCTGCATGTGTTGCCGTTCAACTGCGTTTATTTGTCCGTCACTTATGGAGCTCTGGTACTGGGTCTGCAGTCGATCCAACTCCTGTGAAGCTGTCTGCCACATCTGAAGAGCCCGTTCTTTCTCCTGGAGACACACACACAGAACAAATCAAATTGAAGGTTAACAGACAATGATTGTGGCCTTCCATGAATGTGCATCTAAACCTCTCTCTGAATACCACTGCTATCTGAGACGCAATGTTAACTGAAATTAACTGACAAATTTATACTGTAGCTCAACTTGTAGAGAATTTAATTATGATGCTAGCAATGTCAAGGTCAAGAGATTTATTGGCAGGGAATTCACATATTTCTCTTGCACTTTAAGCATAAAGGAGGAAAAATAATGTTTATTGAGATTTGCTTAATTACAGTAACTGCAGTAACAATTATATTTTGGTGCAAATACACTGAATGCAAGAGATTTTTATAACTACAGCAATTAAAGCTTTTAAAAGTTTTGGCTATGACTCAGAATGCATTTAAATTTCATTTTGACGCAAATTGACTTGTGTTTTTTATAAAAACATTTCAAAATGTAAAATGTCCATGAATACTCCTGAGTATTAATGCAAATGAACTGCTGAATTCAAACCGATTCATTAAAACGGACAGTTTGCAAAAACTGATTTGCATGAATGAATCATATTCCCAGATCTATCACCCTTTTTTGCTAATGAGTTTTAAACCAGAGATGCTATTAAAATATTTTAGTCTTAATGCTCTCATTCTTTTTGCAAAACAAGTAGTGGGAAAACTAGCACACAGTTTGCAAATATTCACAATATTGCTTATTTGATATTAGCAAACATCCAATATATTCTAATATTTAACAGATACATATAATTATAATATAATACAGCCATGCAGTTACTATTCTTCTTTTCACTTTGCTTCCTTTTTGTATTACCACATTTACGATGAGAAAGAGGCAGAGAGATGTCTCACTGGATGTTTCATTTATAGCTAATTATTCCATTCTCAGTTAATTAGGAAATTAGAAATGTGAATATGAATCGGAAAGTCCACAAACTCAAGAGCAACTCACTTGAGACTTGACTTGAACTGATGCGCTCTCTAGAGAAATTTAGATGTGATTTGCAGCATAACATGCTGGTGAACTGCTCCCTAAAGAAGGGCAAAGATGTGCAATGTCGGGCTGAAAGTGGAAACGCTTGATGAGTGACGCACTAATATCTCATTACTCCGTAATGTCAAGTGTTGATATGTAATCCTCAGGAGCACCTGGAGCGTACTCTACGCTGATTAAAACCCATTCCCTCAGCACAACACGACCTGCACCGTCTCATCACGTATTAACTAAAGAACGAAGCTTTAAAGCGGGAATAACCCCGGATCACGAGAGTTGGAATACAGGGCAAGGTAAGCGCCTGTGGGTTTGTGGTGCCACAGACCAACTCATGGGAGTTTAGAGGTGGTTTTGGAACAGGTCTGGATATTCACCTCCATGGCACACTTGACCTGCTCCTCGAGATTGCTAATGGCGATTGCATCTGCTGTTGCGTCTCCTCCTGTTCCAGTGGACAGAGACTGCAACTGCTTTTCAATGGACATTCTCTGCTCTGCATGAAGCCTGCAAATAAAAAATTAATATACACAGTTATTGCAAAAGGTCAACCTTTGTAAACCTTTGGGAATTATCTGCGGACATGCTTTAATTTGTTCTGAAATATAAACGGACTTTCATGACTTCGAGGTCCTAGTAATAGATTGGCAGGAGTACACATAATCAAATTAAATCAGTGTCAGAAGAAAGTACCGGTAGATACATTTAAAAGCAAGGTTTATAGTTTTTTTCGTTAATTTTAATAGTTAATTTAATCATTTAATAAATGTAATCATTTAAAATTTAATTGTCATTTTGCTTTTCTTTTTTCATGTACCGTATTGGCCCGAATATAAGACAACCCTGATTATAAGACGACCCCCCTTTTCCAGATGTACCTTTTGGAAAAAGGCTTTTTAAAAACCAAATCTTGTTTTTTCTCAGTAAAACACATTTTGTCTTCAATTATTTTCATATTGCATATTTTTCCTATTTTAATTTTTGTTTTGAACGTATGGTAAAAACTGGTAAAATGTACTAACAATCACATTTAAAAAATATACACTTTTTGATATACCATTAAAAAAAAAACAGGTTGCCCATCTGAATTAGGACATTTAGGCTATCCATCTAATAGTAGCCTACCAAAATCTTATTAACAGTAGAAGTTAAATCTTAATGTAGTCTTCAAATCTGGGTTCTGTCTTACGTTTTAAAATCACAAAGGGAGTTTGGTACCATCAGGCTAACGTGACAGTCACGACTCATGCAGCTGTAAGGTTTTCTGCTTCTTTTGTTTTTATTCGCGATCTTTTACAACACGCATTACATTAGTATTTCATGGCACACACGTTTTATGCGGTTTTGGCGCCACCTAGTGTTGTGGGTGTATTATTGACATGTCAAAGTCTAGACCCTGAATATAAGACGACCGCGTTTTTTCAGATGTATTTCCAAGAAAAAAACATCGTCTTATATTCGGGACAATACGGTAATAGAAAAAAAAATGTTGTACGTTAAATGCTAAGTTTATAATATGCATAGTTGATCGCTAAATTTAGGGGCTATGTGCGCTAT